CGCTGCAGGAGGTTCAGAACCCTGAGAGTCAACAGTTGCTTGCGAGGCAGCAGGTACTCAACATCAACCCGTGGTCATTGTACAAAGCTTGAAAATTACTGTTGTGGGAAACCATGCAACCGTGCCAATGATTTTTCTTGAGCACCAAGTTTTCTCGAATTTAAGCCGTGAGGGTATTTTCTTGATATGGGTACATTGGAGATGGCCCATTTAACTTTAGGATAAGGATCCTATTGCACTCTCGCGTGATGTGCAGAGCAACGCTGCATGAGCCAGTTGGAGATGCCATCATGGCTGAAAAGGTTTCATTTCTGTCACTTGCGTTGCGTATCAACAACTTGAGTTGCATTCTTGTGCAACGCCTCCCAAGAAACCACAACCCCTGGGACCGCCCGGTTCCCCGGATTGTGGGACGCGTAGTGTACAGTGTAGCGCCGAGTAGCCTGAAACCATTTCAAGCCAGTAGAGCTTGAGAGCACCGTAGTTTGTGTTGGTTGTACCCGTACGCTGTTGTTTGGAACACTCGTACTCACAAAACGTTTGATAGTCCAGCAGTTGCCGTCAGAGATGTAGCAATGATGGAGGCGGGGTGACAAACATTTTGTACATGTACATGTCCCCGTATTTGTATTCCTAGACTAGTATGTCTTACCATGCATGTGAAACCACATGATGATCATGGATTGCCTACGAAGGCGTTTGAGTGTTCGATGAAAAGAATCACCTTACCCTGTAAGCTGTGGTCTGCATGAGGCAGCCTTGCAATCAGCCGCCAGCGCTCAGCCCTCCTCAGCCTCCTTGCAGTCAAGCCAGGGCCCGAAGGCGAGCCAGCCCCAGCACTGATCGAGGAGTGGCAACAGCAGGTCAAGGAGCTCGAGGCACAAGCCAGTATGCTGCTCAAATATGAGCAAAAGCATCGAGTCTGCCGTGTTGCCAGCATGGACAAGCTCCTGGAGCTGGATGAGCGGGTATGCTCTCCGTCCCCTGGGGACTTAGGGGAAGATGCCAATACCCTCTCCAAACCAAGACGATCCCTGCTGAGATCGTTCGGCAAAGCTTGGCCGAGTGGACTCCGTCGATGCAAGAGGAATACGACTCGCTTGTCGTCTCAACCAGTGCCGTCTCGCCGCTCTCCGACCTGGAGTACTCGCGGCTGGTACTGTGTTTACGCGGAAGGCCTTTACGGGAAGGTTCAAGACCCACGTTGTTGGGCACGGGAACTTCCAGACATCTACCTCACTTGAGAAAACAGATGTCTATGCGTCAGGAGCACCCTGTGAAAGCATCAGGCTCCTCGTACGCTGCGCTCGACAAAGGATGGGTCCTTAGAAGCGTAGACGTCAAGACAGCCTTCTTCTTGAACACGCCTGTGGTGACCCCCAACGATACTACTATTATCGTTAGAGTGCCGGCCATACTCAGCGCTGCTGGAGTCTGCCAAGAAAGTACTGGCGCGTAAACAAAGCGCTGTACGGACTTGATGTTGCTCCGCGATCCTGAACCAGGCAGGTCGCCGCAGCCCTCCAAACCGTGTGGACCACCTCCAAGCCAGAGTGGTTGCGCAAGGAAGGGGATAGCTTTGCCTTTAATGGGTTCGAGCTTACCAAGACCTCAGCAGGCTGCAAGGAGCTTCTTGCCAAATGGGAAGCTGTTGAGGGACAATGCCGTGTCCCCATCCCAAAGGAGTTTGCTGCACCTGAGACTCCTGTCGAGGAGCGTCAGGCGCTGACAAAGCAGGCCCAGACCATGTGTGGACGTTAGGCAGGACAAGGCCCGTTTGCTCCTCCAACCCTGCCGAAGCAGTTGCACGCTGCATGTGTGTGATCAAGTATCCTCGGCACGCCCCTTCTGTCGACCTCCACTATGGCCGGGCTCCCAGCGACTTTGGCCAGTGAGCCCAACGCAAGCTATGGAGCGTGCAAGGGGATGCAGTCGGCCCTTGAAAGAGTCACCACGGCGCGTCCCAGTCGGCGCTGCTGTGCAGATCTGCATGTAATGATGAGCCGGCAAAGGCGGAGCCCACCTGGGTTAGTAAGGTTCTAGCCCTCGCCCTCCTGTGTCAAGTTCAGGCAGCCTCCGCACAAGCCTCCACCTCGTGAGCGGCGGAAACCTGTTCCGCATGTGTGCTTGGGCCAACCAGGCTTTGGCCTACTCTTGAGTTTTTGTGGGTTCTTAGGGTGGTGTTGGGAAGGGACCCTTGAACCTCCTCTTCCTCTGGGTTAGGAGGCCCACCTATTGGAGGACAGTGCAGCAGTGTTTTCTTCGGAGGGAATGCCCAACCACTCCTTGCTCCTCAGCTCCAAGTGTCCGCAGCATCACCACAGGCGGAGGAGCTGCCTTTGTGGCAGCCACCCTTCCCACGGCCGAGGCTACATGGCCTCTGAAATCATCAATCCTGTGTGGACTGTTGTCCCCAGCTGGGAGATAATGGTTCTGTGCCTATTGATAGGGGCTGTTCTAGGTGCACTGTGTATGTGCCTGGGATGGTGTTGTTCCGCCGTCCCGGACCGCAACCCCGAGCGCCGCGCTGTCTCCGCGGCCTCACCTGCAGCAGCCGGATTGAAAGGGACGAGCCCCAATTGGGTAGGGTTCCCCATGAAGGACAGGATCCTCCTGCATTCCTGAGGTCCAGGGAGTTCCCCGTTCTTGCGCGGAGGAGCCCAAGACCCACCTCTAAGTCGTATCCCCCGCACTGCTTCTCCAGCAGCTCCTGTGTTGAAGTGGAGGAGCTGCCGCTTGGGCATCCTGTGCAACAACCTGCTCTTGTGCCAAAGCCCACTCTTCATCCTGATCGCCAGTGCCCGCGACGCCTCCCCAAGAAAGAAGGTATCAACCAGGGTGGCCAAGAGTGATAGTCACCCTAATGTGTGCACCTGGCCAATACACGGGTGACCCAGACCCGCGGCCTCTGCCAGTTTTGTTTCCCTAACCAAGCATAGCCCCGTGTACCCCCTACAAACCCGTGTCGGACCTTCCATACGTCCCAGGGCCGATGCATCCACATTTGTGAGGATTGCAGGAGTCTGGGTGGAGGGGAGGTGCACCGCCGCCGGGTGTGTCAAACCTGTCTGCCCGACGGGATTCAGCGCGGCTAAAGAGGGAGTGTCCGAGTGTCATGAAAGGGACATGTGTGTGCGTGTGCATACACAGCCTGTATGGCTCAGACCTGGCCAAGGGTTGCAGGGTTTAGGGGAAAATAAGGTTAGCTGTAGGCACTTAGACCCCAACCCAAAGCCTTCCCAGTAGTGCCAGGCACACTTTTCACACTCGTAAGTAGTGTAACCCTGTATAGTCTTTTGTAGCTCCTTCTTAGAAGTAGAAGTAGAGCCCAAAAGGGGATTCACCGTTTGCTTTGTTCCACTTTGGAGTTAAGAAGAGGGTTTTGTCCGCTCTGCCTGCACCACGCAGTAGGAATAATAATAGGAATAGAGACCATAAAATACACACATCCGGCACCGCATGGTGTGGCAATGTGCCGAAAGTTGTGTTTGAGGAGCTGCAACCTGTCGTGGAAGAGGTGGTCAAAGAGGTGAAGCCTTCAAGACCCTTCTAGCAGGGAGTTGCCCTACGACAGTCCGACAGCCCGCGAACCCTGTACAGGTGCCGAGATATCGGGTGGAGTACGTCGAGAAGGTTGTGGAGGTGCAGAGCCAGGTGCTTCAGGCACTCCCTTTCGGTTACAGTGGATGCAGAATTTTGTCCACCGCGTCGCTAGGAAGGAGCTTCTGTCGAAGCTCCCAAGGTGCAACTTGGGATTGTGGTAGGGACCGCCGAACTTCTGCAATGTTCCTTATCTTGGTGTACTCGGATGTCGTTTTTTGAAGTATGTGCTCTTCCAGCGCTGGGCGGCGGTTTTCATTCTTGCTACCTTTCATGGCAAGCGTTTCTTGGCCGTGAGTTTGGGGTTCTCGAAGCAAGGCATCTCATGGAAGGTCCCACACTGGACATAAGAGCCTTCAAGACGTGTAGCCTTCATAAGCTGTCACAGCGTACAGCCCTGTCAATGGCGCAGGGACGAGCGGTCGCTGTGTCCACCATCGCTGCATTGAAAGCTGCCGCCAGCTCGCCAACGCGGCTTGCGAAGCAGGCCTTGCTGCGGCTTGGAGACGATGTTCACGGGTTCATGGCGTTCCTTTGGGTAGGATGCTCTTTGTCCCGCTTGCGGGCGCGCGCGTGTGCAAGAACCTAAGCTCAGTTTGAGTTGCGGGGCTGCCTTGAAACCTCAAAGTTCTTACCGAGGGATGGGTCCCGGTTCTGCCATGCTTGTGGACACCGTTACGATGCCCGTGAGCCCAGTGACAGCTAAGCTGCCAAGCTTGAATTCAAGCTAAACGTGAACCCGAGAAACTGAGGCCCCGATCGGGTCGTGATGCGAATGCACATGGCTCGTCACATGACAGTCACGTAAGCAAGGGCGTAAACTTGATGGCGGCGGTTTTTCCGCTCTGGAAGCAGAGCACTGACCGCGTCAATCGTTTAACATCGGAACATCCTTTCAGCCGTTTTGCTGTCTCAGCCTCTCAGCATTCTTCGACATCTTCCAGGCATTGATCCGGCTGCAGCAAGTTATGGTTCAAGTTCAAGCTACCCAGAAAGATCCATGCATCTCTATCATTTGATGCACAGTATTACTTAGTATGCATCTTGACTGATTGGATTTACGTTCCTTTGAGCAGCAGTTTAAAGAGGTCTCAAGCATCAAGCAGCCATGGAGGAAGCCAAGGTCCGGATCCGAGCCATTGTCTAAACTCCTAGTATCCCCCCTGAGAAGCCCTAAAGTAATGCCTAATATAATCCCAGCCTGCATGCAGCCTGCACGCAAGTAGTGGCGTTTTTTTTTTTTTTTTCGGAGAAAGGCGAAGAACGTGTGTCACCAAATGGAGATCTGGAAGCAGCTTATTGATACGGAATTGAAGCCGGGCTCTTGGACTGGATGAAGCTTTGCAGCTTTTTATGGTATTTTCTGAAAGCTGCCTGAGGACTGCAGCCAACTGGGAGGGGCAGTGGGGCTTTCTGAAGGGAGGAGCCATTGCCCGAGAAGCTGCTGCTGCCACAACTCTTTGGCTTCGGAAAGTCGGTGATGAGACCTGATTCCGTGTGTGCATGAGGTCTCTGGAGATCCGCGCAAGGCTGTTGAGCACGCTGAGCAAAACTGAGCATGATGTCCTCTTTGTGTTGGTCCCCTATAACCAGGGCCACTCGGCTTCCATGCCCACTCTCCCCAAGGACAAGGCAGACTGCAAAATCTTCCTTGACTAGAGACTGGAAATGCTGCAGCTTTCTCACATTCTGACGGGATAGCATGCTTAGCCATGGCTGCGCAACAGATGGCTCAGAGAGCTTTGTGGCTCAGGCAATGGAGTACTTCACGGGCTGGGAACCCCAGATAGCCGATGGAGACATTTCTCAGATGTGGGTCACAGAGTAGGTCGGAGTTGTTTTCTGAGGCGCTCGGGTCGGGAAGCTGGATCGCTCACAGGACCCTGACAAGCCTCTGTATGAAGCAAGCGGGTGAAAGACTTCCGCCGGAGGTCATGAGCCAGCGTAACTTGACGCCCAAGGAGCGCTACAGCCATCCCCTTAGAGTCTGAGCAGTCGTACGTGCTGCTCATCATGCAATAGCAGTTTCCATTAATATAACCCCTATATAACTCCTATNNCTCCCATGTAACTCCCATATAACCCTTTTTCATTCCATATGGAACCCTAATACGGGTAATTATTTATCCTATGAATGCGGTTGAGGTCGACAGCTGATCACCAGCCACGAAGTGGGATGGCGATCCAACTTGGAGCGCTTCGGCGTCAGCCCGGGCCCCCGAGATTTGCGAAGAAGCGAGAGCGAACGAAGCAAGGAAAGTTCTTTGGAAAGTACTTCGAATTAGAACGCACGAAGAATATACGTAATATTAGTAGTAGTTGTAGTAGTAGT